CATTCATGATTCGCGTAACGTTGGAGTTAGCACTTCAGAACAGTTTTCGGGGATCCTGCGGACTAGTTGATGCCGTTCGCTCGACGGCCGACTACATGGTTACAAACCTGCCCCATGATGACCATCAGAACAAGGATGTACTAAGAGAACATTATATGACATCTCTCTGCGGTGCGGCCCTTATACATCTTACAGATTCAAGGATGTCCACGAAACTCTGGTTAAGAAATGGGAACCCGATTCCCGAAATAACGGCTCGCGACCGTGCTTTAGCCGCAGCAACTCTTGATAACGATACGGAGCTCATAAACTTGCTTTTGGAAAGGGCAGCAAATGTCAACCATGAAGATATCTACTTTGGCAATGCGTTATATACAGCTGTTTTTTTACGGAACACCGAAGCGACATCCCTCCTCTTGGCCAACAAGGCATCCTTACTATACAGCGATGTGTCAGGGAAAACGGCGCTACATATTGCAGCCCAGAAAGGGTACGACGAATGCGTTGAGTTGATCCTAAATCAAACATACCGCAACGACGTTGATCGTTTTGACCATATGCGCCGCACCGCGCTGTCCTGGGCGGCAGAGGAAGGGCGTGTGAAGGTTGTCGAACTCTTGTTGAAGGTGGGCAGTGCAGATCCGCAAACTCACGATTCAAGGGGTGTCATGCCGTTGGATTTTGCTGTTGCTGAAGGACATCTTGATGTCGTGAAACTTCTTGCTTCTTATCGACTGGAGAGGGGGCGATTCCCCTGAATTAGCGTTCTCAAGAGCACACACTGACAGACACATACAAATTGTTATTAATTTACAAAACATACAACGCCGACGGCTCCTGTATCGTGGGCCCTCCTGGCTTGATTGATTATTAACTCGCTCTCCTTAAATCAGTCCCGCATATTCACCATCTCACCCCTGTGCAGGCAAGATTAACTACGATAGCGTTCTGCGTGCTTCCCTCATTGCGCCATTGGCCACAGTATCTTCACATGAAGGGGAACTTGCATGGATCAATCGTCAGCAGTTCGACTCATGACCTTTGGGTTTGCTTGTTCTCTAGAATTGGAAGCTAGATCTGTCGAAGGGATATGGTTATTCGTGATATAGCCATTGCGGGAGGAGCTGTGGTGGAAAGAGGAGTGCTACACAGGGTTTCGGTTTCTTTGACAGGTTTTCTTTAATTTCTTCGTTCTGAGGGTTTCTCAGCATTATATATCATTTAGGGATTTTCTGCGACTGGATAATGACTGAAAAGATTTTTATTTCGTGGCTAAAGAATAAGGTAAATTTATATTGATACAATTCCATTTTGTTTGGTGCATGTTTTGCTACCTTTACTACCTGAAACCAACCTAATAATTAAATATGCATTTCATGCGCCAGCACTTTTTCTTTCTTCTTACCTTTCAACAAAACAAGAAAATTTAACCCCGTCTATTTTTTATTTCTACCTTAGTCCATCACAATCTCCATACTGTGGGCGCTTAAGCGTGGGGACCGCGTTATACGGTTTAGCTGATCTCCGCCGCCAAGCCCAAGGTCAGGCCGGTCTCCAAACGCTGAACCTTGTCCTTTCGCCCCATATCGTTAAACCCTCCGCGCGGGATACCTTCATGATCCCTTTAACCCACCCAACGCACTACCCGTGAGCCTCCCTCATTTCGCAAAGATCATGCCGAAGAGGATTCTGGGAGGAGGCCGAGTGTTGGGCAGCGGAAGGTCTCTAACTCCTACTGCCCCCACACCCTCTCCGCACAGGCAGTCCCGCCTCCTCTCCCCGACATCCAGCAGCGTTTCCCTCAATTCCCAGGGCTCCACCTCTCAATTCTCAGCAGATACGCAGGACATCGTGTCCCGAATATCTCTGGGAAATGGCGATTCATCTTCATCTCGGGCTTCGATGGCGGCAGGAAGTTCCCGTCTCGCTTGCCCCATTTGCAACGAGGAGATGGTGAGTTTATGTCGCATTTTCTGCGCTTAATAACTCCTTTGTACATGTTTATCTTGTGCTCTATCGTATATCGAAATGCCCACGATGATGCTAACTAGCTTCTCCCAGCTTACATTGCTGCAACTTAACAGGTAATTACTGCTGCTCCCTTCGATCACATGTTTCGTGTTTCTCTCTGACGTCAGGAGCTAGACACCTTGACGATACACACCCCAATCTCGAGGACGACCGGCAGATCGAAGTGAAGGACTGGTTCCAGATACAGGTCGAAAAGGCAAAACGATTTCAGCCGCTAGCTGTTCTGAATCAAAAGCTTAAGGGCCTCGAGGTCTTCGAATCCAACAACCATATCCCGCTATCCGTTTCCACGCCCAGCCGCACCCCTTCAGGTCAGATAGCTTCTGAGCCACCAAAGATAGTGGATCCGGATGAAGTGGTCACAAGAGAGCATTGGCAACCGCGTGGTTTGTATGATGTTTGTTTGGAACCGCTATGCCAGAAGAGACTTTCCGTTACTTCCGGCAGCGTGAACTGCCGCAAATGCGGGAAACTCTTCTGCGAGGAACATACTATGTATCAAATGAAGCTCTCTAGATCCGCACAACATGAACCTGTTCGTGGATATTGGTGTAGGGTGTGTGAGACTTGTTACAAGTCGAGGGAGGGATACAATGACCATAATGGTAGGCCATGTCCCGTTTATGAAGTAATTGACTGTTTTTTCTAAGGTATTAAATAGGCCAGAAACGCGATCACACCTCAGAATTCACCAAAATACGTAGACAAAAGGTGGACAAGGCATTCCTGGAAGTCTCGCGACTGGAAAAGCGCCTCACTCGGCTGACCCAGCTACTATCTACTCTTCCCCCGGACCAGATTCAACCAGGGGCCAATAAACTATGGTCAATAGCATGGCAGAATGATCAGAGGAAGAAGCTCGAACAATCTGTTGTGAGCTGGGAAGACGATGCCAGTGTTTCAAGATGCCCATTTTGCCAGCAAGACTTTTCGAGTTACACGTTCCGGAGACATCATTGTCGAACCTGCGGGAGGGTCGTCTGTGGTGATCCCGTAACAGGATGCTCTTTGGAAATAGGTTTAGACATTGCTACCAGTATGTTTCTATGCACGGTCGATTTTTGGATCATGCTAATCCTTTGGAAGACTCCCAAGTGTCAGAAAAGCCTACGACTGCCAGCGAAACACTCAGCATCGACATTCGTCTTTGCAAGGAGTGTAAGTCAACTATATTTGACCGAAGAGAAGTCTCACAAGACCTCCTCAAAGTACCCCCAGATCTTCGGGTATATAGGAATCTTGCACAGTTTGAGAAAGGCATTCGTTTGCTATTACCCAGATTCCAAAAACTGCTTTCCGCTTTACAGTTAGTTTAACCTGCTGCCTTATATCCTTTACAAGCTCCAACGTTAACATCTTTCACCCAGAGATCCAGAGAACCCCCCTTCCCCGACCCAACTTACGGATGCCGCCAAAGTCCGTAGACGCCTCATGGATTCCTTTGCTCAATACGACATCGCCGCTAGACGAATTCGTGACCTCCCAACATCATCTCCAACACAATCCAAGCTCCAAAAAGCTATCTACCACCAAGCCACGAATTTCCTGCACCTCCACATGCTTCCCCTAAAATCACTGCCCAAGGTCTTAAAACACGCCACTCCCCACGGCACTAAATTTCCCGTCAATGATAACACCGCAAATGGCACCAAGAACGCTCTCGCCACAATAAAATATGGCAACCATGAGAACGCAGGTAGCTCCACCAGTCTAGCTAGCGACAACAGTAGCGCCATCTCCGCCCTGGAAACTGAAGAAAAATCCCTCCGTGAGCGTCTCATCGTGCTCGAAGAGCAGAAGTTTTTTGTCAATGAAATGGTGGCGGATGCCAACCGCAGACGCAAATTCGATGAGGCTAGCAGCCTTGCCCAAAATGCGGAGGATCTCAATAAGGAGATTGATCGTGTTAGTGGGATGATCGGACAGCTAGATTTTGAGGCATTGTATGTCAACAAGCTTGGGTGACAGGATTCCCACGTTGTCTGCAACACTCACAAACAATAAGCAACGCACTACATCACCACCATTATATCATACTCCATCCCACCTCCGGCGATCGACAAATTGATCGATTGGTTCCCAACCTCGTTCTTTCCCATTCTTTATTCGTTACAGCATTCATCAAATTGACGACGCGATGTTATGCGATGGCATGTCATGTCTTCTGTTTGTATTAAGTTTTATTTCTGGTGCACATTGCCAGTGGGACTCGGAGCAATATCTTGCCCGCTTAGCCTTCTTCATGTACTTTTTGCCTACATATATGCATTTCCTGTCTGTTTTCGTTTATTTTAAGCTTTGGAAATAGATCGGGAGGATTTCTCTTTCACCTTTTGATAGGGGGCTGGCTAGCTGTTGACTTAATTTGTTTCCCCTGTCTTGGTTTAGAGATGTGGGTTACAGCCTCAGTCATTGTTTAGCTATTATCAGTGCTGCCTACAAGTGCAATTTGTATGTACTAATCATACAGCCATACTTTTCATAATAGAGTATGTAATTTGTAAGTTCGGTAATGCTTCTATAAGATCAAGTTAGCAGTCTGTAGAAGAGGAAGTCCTTGGTAGAGGGTTGTCTTCAGTGGTTAATGGGCGTTCATAGGCAGTAAATATTAGCTCAGCAGTTTGGGAGCCCGGTATAAAACTCAATAAAAGATCCTATGGAAATATACAGGCCCGGGAAACAACCGAAAATCGCATATCCAGACTCGACCAGACTTTGAGTCAGTACGAAATGGAAATCGGCATAATATGGTCATGCAGTCATTCGACAATGGGAAGCCACGCCAGATACATACGAAACTGGGATAGGTAAGGGTGTGCGGACTTGAAACGAGCAACGAAGGAATCAAAGCAATAAATCTTGCCCAGCTCCCCCGAAAAGACAAAAAAAAAAAAAAAAAAAAAAAAAAAAAAAAAAAAAAAAATAGGCTAGCTTGTCACCATCTGGTCAAATCATGCCGCCTCCTTGCCCTACCCCTGGCCGTCCCCATCCCCCTCCCCGTTAATGTCTTCCAATCGCTCCGCATTTCCGCTTCCGCTTCCATCTCCACTCCCTTCATCCCCTGCCTCATGAACCCCGTTAACCACCGCCACTCCACTTCCACCTCCACTCGATCCTCTGCCAGCCTCCACCTCCTCTTTCAACTTCTTTGTCAACTCCATCAGCTCCACAACCTGCCCCTTCAACTCCCTAACCTCCAAGACACACGGGTCAACCTCAACATTCGGCTTAGTCTTCGCAACTTTCAAATCCCAACTGTCCGCCTCGAAGTCAATGTTGAGATCCTGTGCAGCTGCTTGCCACTCCTCAAGTACGTCGTCGTCTTCTTCACCCAGGCGGCGGTTGAGGCGGATACGGCGCGCGTTCAGGGTCTCGATGAACGCAGTGATGAAGAGAAGTGGAGAGTAGATAACGCCCATTACGTAATGGTTTAGGCGCTCGTATTTATCAGTGGAGAGCCACCATTCGAAGGGGAGAATGAGAAGGAAGATTTCAATTAGATTGAAGGCTGTTGTTGAGAGATTGGTTAGCAGGGTGCGACAACCGTAGGATTATGGGGGGAGGAGAGAAAGCATACGAGCAATAAAAACGTTTTCATCAGGGGCGCGCACGAATTGCATAGTTCTATGAGCGAACAGGGCCATGTACTCGTCTGTGGCATTGCCGGTAATATCTTCGTAGGCACTGTTGTAGAGCGCGATGAGGATATTCAGGAGGACTGAAGTAATAGTCAGAATGTGTTTGTATATTGCCCAGGGGAAAGACGAGTAGATATAAAACGGTGTCACCTACTAACCATCACCACGAAGGTGAAGAGGTAATAGAGTAGAATGCCAAAGGGTGCGGAAAACTCCTGAAAGACACTGAAATCCGGACTCTGCATGATGGTGTTTGCCATGCCCTGGAGAATAACGGAGGGCGTCATTGCATTGCCTGGATCAGCTTGATCCATGCCCATGAACCCTTGGAGGAATCCAATGATAACGACAGCCAGCAAGGCAAAAAATATCAAACTCTCCTTCATCATCACCTTGAGGACTACAAGCATGGCACCGAAGAAGCGGTATGTATCTAGGAAAAGCAATATACGGCCCCAGAACATCGGGGCGGAAAACGCTAGGAAGTTATAGCTGAGCGCATTAAACTTCATTCTCTCCGCATCATGGCTATCTGACGAACGTGTGAGGGCAACGATGCGGAGGATGAAGGAGACAAGGAGAAGGGTATAGAGGGTAGAATTGAACGCGTTCCAGAAGCCAAAGTAAAAGCGTCCTACTTTCCAAAATTTGGCAATTTCATCACATATAAATCCTAATGTCATCAGATAGAGTAATCCTTCTACAATATCGAGGTCACCCGATGGGTTAATTGTGTTGATCACCCCGGTATACAGGGCAAGGTAAAGCAGGGAGAAGAATATCTGGACAGCATTCTGGTAGATAGGAGCCCTCAGTCTATCTGGGTTGAAATGGGCCCAGTAATGCGTATTGACTCGTTCCGGGTTCTCGATGAACGTGGACGGGTCTTTGTCGTCCTGGCACAGCCAGCCATGCCAGAGATATTTGATGCATTTCTGATATCCTGAAGACCCGATTACTCGCAACGCATGGAGGTCAACAGCTCGTTCAATGACATTGACCGGAGGAGTATCTTCTCCATCAAGGAAGATCGCATAGCGCTTCAAGAGCACCTCTTGCATAAGGTAGTCCTGGTCTTCCTCAGCCTCGATTCTGTGGAACATTGGTAAGCATATTTTCTCCATGATACTGTACAAATGGTGCGGATCAAACGCACATCCTCTTCGCAAGCACCTCACAGACCACAGCCCTTAACTCATGAAGGTCTGAATCCCACAGCTCGACCCGTGCCTGTAGCTTGAACCATCGGAGACACACCAGCAGGCAGTAGACCACACATGCTTTGTTATATTCCCCCGCAGCCTCGCGGGCAGTCTGAATAACAGCCTTGGTAATAACACTGCTATTTGGCTTTGTCAAAGCCTTTTCTTCAAGCTCGCAAGGAATGACCTGTTCAATCTGGTACTTCAGGCGGAGGGCGACCTTTGTGACCTCTTTAGCGGGCAATGCAGGCGGAATAGCTTCATTGCGCCGCACGGGGAGCACTATTTACAACTTGCTATCAATGTTTGAACATATATATATATATATATATATATTTGAAAGCACACCTGTCACCAAACTTACGGCAATTGAGGTTGTTGGAACGGCGCATTACTTACATCTGCGGCCCTCATGGAGCTGGCGATGTCGACGACGATCGTCCGAGCTGAACAGGTGTGACCACCGCACCATTTTGAGCAGTTATCGGAGTGATAGGTTAGCTACCTTCGAATTGATTGAGGAATGGATATGGATATGGGTGCTGAAGGATGATAGTTGAGGGTATCAAACATGTATCGTCCCTCAATGAGCAGCCATTGACGTCCCTGCAGCATTCAGGCCGGCAGGTTAAAGGTAAATTGAGAAGAGTTGAGTTGGTTGCTCATGGCGACGTTGACAAGCTAGTTTAACGGCAACAAATTGCGGGGACAGTCTAGCCCTGATTCAAGCCCAAATTGCCCAGATCCCAGTTAAAACAGCAACAAGCAAGCAAGACGTATTAGAAGACATTTACGAGGGGAGGCCAGCTAAGCAAGCCACATTGGCAAGCTGCCGCTTGTTATTTGTAGACCCAATTTGCCACTGAGCTTGGTATCGGCCCGCCCGAGAGTGGATATACGAAGGATATCCGAACCTTCTCTTGTGCGTTGTGCGGTGTGCGGTGTCCACAGAGTCAGTAGGTTTCCGAGGCGTAGACTGCCAGTGTTCTGATGGCGACAGCTAGAAAACAGATGATGAAACACAAATCCTGGTCGACAAGTGCTTTGCATTTCGACACAAGTTGTTAAATACGAAAATACGGACAAATTGACGCTGTTCTGATATCCTTTTTTCTAAAAAAAAAAAAAAGAAAAAAGAAAAAAACAAAGGAAAAAGAAAAAAATCTATCGCTATCTCCTTAAACATTGAAAGACCAGGTCATCATCTCATAGATTCGTGACCGAAAAGGTTTTTGTAGGGGAGAAAAATGGCTGAAGAAAAACTAATATAGCAAAGGCGAAGAGTATAAAGCGAAGAGGGGCAAAAAAACAGATGATCCTTGGATCACATATCGACGATACCCTCATCGCTCTCGCTCATGTCCTCGTCCCCGCTAACTTCCTGGTTTTCCCGTTCCCTCTTGTCCATCAACGCTTGCAGTTCTGCATCGTCATGTTCGGTGACAGCCTTGGGCGCCATTTTAACCACAAGGGCCCCGTCAGACGCCTGGATTCTATCACTGATGCTCTTGATAGCCTCCTCCAGCACCGCAATTCCATGGTTTTTGTCCAAACAGTGGCTTGTTAGCACATATAGTGGCGGCGACACAAGTTTGACCTTGACCTGCGCATCTTGCGTGTTGTTTGATTCTGCAGTCCTGAGGGCATCCTTAACAGCATCAATGCCTTCATAGCTGAAGCAAGTGACCTCCACGTCCGCACGAACTTTGGTGGGATGGGGTGTAAGCTTTTTGCTGATGTAGCTTTGCAGTTCGTCCTTGACCACCTGGTTAGGGAATGTTACGTCATCCCACACACTTGGGTTTCTGCAGAGTAATTAATTAGTTTCGTTAGCCACGCGGATATATGATTTTTGTCTTCTTTTCCCCCAAAAATTTCATATTGAATGGCGACGCAGAGGCTTACGTACGTGATGGAGAGTTTGAAAGCATCGATAGAATGACCAAATTTCTTATTCAGTGGCCAACCAATCTCTGAGTAAAGCGTTTCCATGGGGGTCTTTGTTTTCTCCGCTACATGACGCATGATTGAGTGGACTAGTTTGCTCTTGTTGTATCGTTCTTCGCATTTGATGACGTCTTCAGGGGATACTCTTCGTTTAGAAAGATCGATATAGCCTATTACACCGTACCATGTATTATTGTATTAGCCTCTGATCCTATGCCTTAAACGGTCGGTCGGTATTCACATGCCTTTTTCCTTATCGACACGAAGCACAACCACAACTTCATTTCTACCCACTCGAATAAGCTTTTGTATACTTCGGATACGTCTTCTCGACAGCTCTGAAAGCAAGATCATTCCATCAATATTGTCGTATTCCAAAAGCTTAACGTATGCGCCCATCTCTGCAATCTGTTTGGCGGGTTATTGTAGAGATTAGATTGATGATATTTTCATATCCGCATGCCATACCACCAGTGGCGTGGCTTATTCGGTGAACCGTACCTGCTTCACGTTCACCATCACAAAGCTATCAATCTCCGGAAATTTCTCCTCATAGAAACGGCAATTTGTTAATGACATGGTGGGCGGAGCGTGCCTATCTCAGGCGAGGCGACTGTGGGGGATTGACGGAGGTAAAATAGACCAGCTTTTTCGTTTCCTTTTTTTTTTTTTTCCCTTTTTTTTATTACCCTTCTTGTTTTCCTCCGGTTCTAATAAAACGGATGGTGCCAGAATAGAGATATTTGGTTAGAAGGTAAATGCCCTCTTCTGGATATTCTGGATGGAATAGGTGTTACAAATATGGTAATATGAGCTGCTCTCCTGTGTTAAAACTCGCAGTCTTGTCCTGTTAGAAATTGTTTGAAGTGAGTCTTTTTGAGTTTTTGTGCCTGCAAAAAGAAGCTCTCAAAAACAGTGTCATGTGACTACTTAGTTATATAAGCTGACGCATCTCCTTTGGAACCGCATGATATAGATAGATATCTCCCGTTTCAAATTCCCGACGAGTGGCATCACGCTGAGGGGTGGAACTGCGTTTAGCCATTTAACTGACAATGTAGTCTTCTGCATGTGGTGGACAATGCTCTCTCGACCACTCCCCGCCCAATAAATCCCACACCAATATCGGGTCCGATTATAAACTTGATGCAACCGACAGTCATCTGCCGACTGGTTTACCTCCAGCTATCTTCCTGGTGTCTATTTTATGCTCTCTGCCACCCCTCCAGTTGAGTGACAGGGTATCTTTACTCTGCTATTTTGTTCTTATAAACCCATGAGCAGGATCTTCCAACTGCCCTCCCGAAACAGACATTTATTCGTGCCGATTTCCTTTCGGCTAACGGCCCTCCCGCTCCGGGAATCTAAAGCCAGAATCGTGGAACCATGCCTGTCTCTGATCCCGTAAAGCCTCAACAGGCGCAATCACTCCGCGATCGAGTGGTTAGCCTTTTCCATTCGCGATCATCCCGCAACGGTTCGCAATCTCCTTCTGCCTTCATTGCCCACCGAGAGAGCGGGGAGGAAAGCGAAACGCCGACTCCGCCTCCAGGTGAGGTGAATTTCAGAACACGACTTCTAGAATCGTATAACCGTTTGGAACCAGCATGCGGGTCCCGTTCTTGTGACCATGGGACATTCTCCCCTCGCCCTGGGTCTTCGTCCGCTCGAGGAGCTAGCCCTGTTCGGAGAAACGGCATTGGTAATTACGATGATAGCCCTCATGAAGGATCAAGTGTACATTCTGTTGATAGGGGCGATGCTATATGTGATCCACCGAGAGTGCCTCCTAGGGCTACCACGAAGCAATTGGCCAAACAGCATGGAGTGAAAAATCACAGGACTATGTGCGTAACCTCTTCGAAATTTAAACAAACATATGAAATTGCAGCATTCCGGTGGTTGTAGAATTATTGTTAGCTCCTGCTAATCGATCCTCTATTTCTCTAGGTATATCTCATATTATGTGCCATTCTTCAATTGGATAACCCAGTATCGTTGGTCTTTGCTCAAGGGCGATCTGACGGCAGCAATTACCGTGGCCTCGATATATATCCCAATGGCGCTGTCTCTTGCATCCAACGTTGCGCAAGCTCCTGCTATAAATGGGCTTTATGGATTTGTGTTTAGTCCCTTTGCCTATGCGATTTTTGGGAGTAGCCCAACCATGGTGATTGGGCCAGAAGCGGCAGGCTCTCTTCTAGTTGGCACGGTTATCCGTGGTGCCATAGATGCGGGCGATTCTACAGATGACAATTCTGTTCTCAATGCTCAGATAATTGGTGTTGTGACAGGGTTATCAGGAGCCATGGTGCTAATTGCTGGTATCACTCGATTGGGTTTCCTAGATAATATCCTTAGTCGACCGTTCCTTAGAGGATTCATCAGTGCCATTGGCTTCATGATCTTCGTCGATCAGTTGATCCCGCAACTGGGTCTAGCCTCGTTAGCAAAACAGAGTGGTTCAGCGCACGGTAGCAGTGTGGAGAAATTGGGGTTTCTATTTCGACATATTAGTTCTACCCACGGTTTAACCTGCGCGGTTGCTTTTGGTAGCTTCGCCATCATCATGATTTTCAGGTACGCTCATTGACATGAAAATACAGGGGGGGACCTACAATTATTTAGTTAACGCTTGTGTCACAGGATATTGAAAAGACGTCTAGAACCACGGTTCCCCGCAGTTGTCTTCTTCCCTGACCGATTTCTAGTCGTCTTCCTCTCTGCTATCTTGACTTGGCAGCTCCGGTGGGATACAAAGGGTCTGGAAGTCCTTGGCTCCCTGAAGGAAACAGGAAACCCGACATTCGCCTTCCGATGGCCATATAAATGGTCTCACTTGAAACATCTTCCCACCGCAATGAGCACATCTTTTATCATTTCATTGCTTGGGTTTTTTGAATCATCAGTCGCTGCCAAGGGTCTTGGTGATGGAAGCACAGCTATAAAAAGAATGGCTTTGAGCGCTAATCGCGAGCTCGTCGCCTTGGGAGTAGCCAATGTTATTAGCGGATGCTTCATGGCCCTCCCTGCTTTCGGAGGATACGGGCGAAGCAAGCTCAATGCGGCGACGGGCGCGAAATCCCCTATGAGTAGTATATTTCTCTGCCTTATAACTTTGCTCTGTATCCTGTTTATGCTGCCTTATTTTTACTACCTTCCCGTACGTCAGCCTCCTTATTCCACCAACAGCAAAACCCAAAATAAGAAGCACAAACAGTTCTCGATGCTAACACCAAATTAACTACAGATGGCAGTTCTCTCCTCCATGATCTCCGTAGTCGCCATCTCCCTCATCGAAGAAGCCCCTCACGACCTTCGATTCTTCTTCAACATCCGTGGCTGGTCTGAATTGAGCCTGATACTTATAATTTTCTTCGCAACAATCTTCTACTCACTCTACCTCGGCATCGCCCTCGGCATAGGTCTCTCTATCCTGCAAATAATCCGCCACGCAACGAAGCCCCGTATCCAGATCCTCGGGAAAGTAAACGGCACCCACGACCGCTTCGAGAACGCCGAGATCCAGCCCGAAAAAGTCGAATTCATCGAGGGTTGCCTAATCGTCAAGATTCCCGAACCGCTTACTTTCGCGAACACGGGTGATTTGAAGAACAGACTCCGTCGCTTGGAGTTCTATGGTACAACCGCTGCACACCCGGCATTACCGCGCGTGCGTGCTCCTGAACATAACAGAAATATGATCTTTGATATTCACGGTGTCACGAGCATTGATGGCTCAGGGATCCAGGTGCTTAGTGAGATTGTGCAGGGATACGTTGACCAGGGGGTACGCGTGTTTTTCTGCCGGTATCCGCGTCCCGGGACAGCGATATTTCGTATGATGGAGAAGAGCGGGATTGTGGAGGCTGCGGGGGGCATGAAACATTTTACCCGCAGTGTTGATGAGGCATTGCGTTTGACGGAGAGATCGGATTTGGATGAACCGTGACTGACATGATACATGGTTTCCGCAAGGTTACATTTTTGGAGAATCTGAAACTTATACGGATAGATCGATATGATTGGGATGTGATGATATATTTCTCTTTTCAAGAAAATTTTTTTATTCGCTTTGATTGGTTTGGTTCATCCCTGGCAAAACGTACCCCTTGATGATGTTTGACTGGCTTTTGCTCGGAAGTTTTGATCCTTGCGTTGCCCCAAAGGGATCTTTCTATATCAGGCACATTGGTATTTATGATTGTCTTTAATTGTTTGACGAGATACTATGATACTTGGCTTATTTGTTTTCTGTTTACTCCCTTTAATTCCTAGAGATTTAGTTTTATTTTTCTCTTTCTTTTCAGAAGTATTATTATTAGAAGAACAATCGTGTTCTGCACCTTTGCCCACGCCAAATACAATACAAAGCTGTCTCCATTCTTATCACAGGTAGTATGAGATATATCACCATCAACAGCTATTCCAGCTTCCCCCAAAGGATCCCTAAAACGTGTCTGGCAGGTGAATCGGAAATAGGGAAGCAGATGATAGGACATAGCTTTTTGGACCACCCCCCTGACAATTGATGCTCAATGTTCAAGAAACGATCAGCCGGTAAATCAATGGAGAATAGAAAGTCGTCAAAAAATCCAATAAACACTCACTGTCCGCAAACAATTCTTTGCAGTTTCCCAGAACAATATTCTCATGGTCAGGCAAAACTAGATCCGGGGAATATTGAAATTCTTTTGGGGTGTGGATTCTGCTCCATGCCCAACATCGTCAGCCATCTGCAGCATGTATTTATATCTTGCTATCTCAATCATATAAAACAGACTGTCTGTTCCAGTTAACAAATAATACTTAGTCTCTCCCATCCCCTTTCCCGTCTACGGATTCCTCCTAAGTAGATACATACATACCAATCACAACAAAACATCATCAAACCATCTCGTTTCCAACCGAGCCCTGTAAACCCGTGCCAGGCCTTCTCGAACCCCTCCCGGCAGCCACGGCGTCCACAATCGACGCAAGCTGCAGATTGATATCACTCCTGAGGCCTTTCAATTCGAGTAGAAGCGGGGCAAGGTATCCAGGCGGGGGGCCATGTGGACGTAGCCATTCCCAACCAAATTGGATGGCGAGCCAGTGCCATATCTGCGTTACGGGAGTCGGTGTAAAGATCAGGACGATGACGAGGAGGATTACGATGGCTTCGAAGGTATCCATATCTTTTCGTTTGGTTTAATTGAGGTTGAATTGTTAGCTCGTGGCTGTTAGGAGTTGGTTGCTGGCGACGGGATGATGAGGGTTATTCCAAGGTCCACGGATGTGAAGATTTGAGAAGAGGCTGATCCCGCCCTGGAATGCATCACTTAAGAGTAGTCATGATGTTGATGGCTGATTAAATACATGCAGAAGGCGTTCTGGGTCAGGTTGGGGCTCTGTTGAACAAGCGTATTGGCTCCTGGATACCCATATAACATATCAAAAGCTGTTTATCCTTCAATCAGGGCAATTCATACCAGCCCCAGAGGAGAGGGTGGGGTCATGGATGTGCAGAACACGACTCGGCCCCTTTTGCTACGGCATACCCAGGCCCCCGTAACGGCTCAATGAATCTTTTGGACAAAGTTCCTTCACGACAGTTGATGGCATATTTCTTGTTATTGTGGCCAGGGAGCTAAATTGTATACACTGTACATAAAAAGGAGATAGGAAATATTGGCAGCATGCTTACTACTATGTCCAATAGATATGTCGGAGATAATTTCGTCGACATGCTTCGTGTTTGATAACTGTATCTGCTGGGTCGTTTTAGTATATGGGTAAGAGAAATTAAACCTATGTAGGTATTTAGTTGACCTACAAGGAATTTGACTTGGAAGTTAAGCAGTATTATCTCATTCTAGTGTGTCACCGGCAAGAGCTTCAACATGAGATATAATTACCGGTATAGCAGGCAAGCTAGGTACCTATGCCTCATACACGTAGAGGATAAACCCGACAAAAAGTCCGTCTCCAACCCCTGATATTAAAACAATTCATCAAACTTCATCAAACCTCTTTGAGGTCCTCAAGTTGAAGTTTATCTTGGTATCTGAAACAGGTACATGAAGGAATGTTCCAAGGCAGATTCGTTAATAAAGGCACTGTGATAAATAAGATTTCTCTATAGATGCTGGATTGGTTCTGAGCATTAAGCTGAACGGTATCATTTGATTAACTCTCGCATCTTGGAATCCGAACAGCAGTCAGAAGAAGCTTCTGCATCTTCTTTAATGAGCAGAGCGTTTCGAAATTTTGTCTGCTCTTTTCCAATAGGGGAGAGTACCATGGAACCGGGAACCATGGAATCTCGAATTTATAAAATTATAACTAGAAAAACATACGACAGCCGGGATTCGCTGGTGGTCACCCACCCAACTACTAACCGGCCGGCGAGTGGCTTAAGTACGGCTGAGCGGACGGGAAGCCCTGTTTTCCACTCCCTATGGTCGTATGTGCTCAACAGAAAGCGTCTCATGAATATATTCCAAAACTCCGATCCTCGATGGTCGAAAATAATGGCCCCAACTGAGAAATACATTTTGACGATGACTTCCCGTTACACTGGCTTTGATACGCATTTTGAAATGCAGGAAAAGCAGACGTCCAGAGAATACTAAATCGCCAGAAGATTAAAAGCCATTTTTCTGCAGACACCAGAAAGCCAAGGGTAAAAGAGTTGTAAAAAAAATAAAGAAAAAGAGAGTCTTCTTCCTGTTTGATGGAGTTTGTGAAGTCGATAACAAAGGGATTGTTCAAGTGAGGCGATTTAAGCAGTGTTTGCACTGTTTGTTTCAGCCGCGATCTTTTAACTCGCGATCCTAAGCTTCAATTCCTCTCGAGACGTTCAAAGTTGAAACGGACAACTAGAGGCACGAAGCTGCAATTCCCCGAAATGTTCCCGTTTGAATTAATCCGCTTAGGCAAACATATTAACAAGCTTATGCTGCTGAATCATAGTCTACGCGATATCTATTGATTGCTGCGCGTCGATGGCAGTGGCATCAGGGGACCAGCTGTTTACCACGTCCTGGACCCTTCACCGGTTGTCACCTCTCTACCACGGAAACGAGTGTCAAACCCTCCTAGACAATCCGCAGGGACTGAACCTATACGCAAACCGCCTCAGGGACCTTCTCAGAGGCGATGTATTTCGTGGCGTGCGGGTTGGAATGCAAGGCCTTGGTGCCGTCGATGACGCCGTATCAAAAGCAGGTTCTTTGAAATCGTGCAAATGGGATGTGCTCCCGACCTGGAGCCATTGGAGTGAAGAAGAATCCCTCCTCAAAGATCCTGAACAGGAATCCTATGCCCTCGTGCCAGAAGTCTCAGCGGGCATACTGGTGACCCTTGAATATGAGAATATCACGTATAAATCAGCCATGCTTACCGGCCCGGATGGTTACCACGATACGAGAAAATCTGTCACTTTTCTTCCTTTACTCTTAACCCGTCTTCCAAATTCTCTTCGTCAGAACTTTATTTCATTTCTGGCAACTAGTTTCGACGCGCGCTGTTCAATTCTTCGTCTACCTTCAACTTTTCTTTGCGCTACGTTTGAAAATTACTTATCAATTTTGAATCGTGTTACATCGAGAGCTCATGCATCTTCTTCTCGGGCTTTAGTCGAAAAAGTAATCAAAGAGACGCAACTGACCCTCTCATTCCCGCCGCCAATTTCTCCCTCATTGAAAACCTTGGATGTTCTTATCTCCCGCGAGTCTCTGAGCGCATTTTTCGTTCACGGATCGAACGTACTTGCGAACACCCCGAACGCTCCACCAAATCAAACCGGGAGCCGCGGTGTGAAGCGGGCTCATCCAGATAGCGCCTCCACTGTAGATAATGATGAAAACCCCTCAGCTCCATTTTTAGCCAGTCTATCTGCATATTTCAACGCCAATCTCGCCATGAAGTTAGACATTAGTGACTTTGGCAAGAACCCAACCGTTGCACAACAAAAGCAGGTTAGGTTGAGCAAAATATCCTGCGGGGCATTTGTCCTTGGCGGTGAAGGGAGGATGAAACTCCTTGCAAATCCCGGGCGGGTTATTCCGTTTGATGATGCAGAGGTCACCGAGGAGGAGGACGACCCTGATAGTCGGGAAATCCGTTCGGTTTGGAGAGCAAACGAGATGTTACTACGAGCGTTGGTTTTACACGCTGTGGGCGGACTAACTCAGAGGCAAAATGACGATTCTACGGGAGGAGAAGGATCTTGAGATCCAAATGTTTCTCTGCAAAATCTCGTATTCTTCCTTGTACCGTGGTAAACCGATGCAGTTCAAACACAAGGATTTTGACTTTTCTGTTATGAGGCTGGACTCCAAAGAGTATTCAGATTCGTCAAAGTCCGGACCATGGCAGACATATCTTGTCGCCACCCGCTACGAAAGTGGACAGAGAACAGCAGATTGCACAATTGCTAATGTGATGGACGGGCACCACTCATTCTCATCATCCTTCTGACAGAAGAAATTCTACAACAGTATTGAGAAGGAGCTGCATGTTCTACACTACGGATCTGGACTGCACATATTTTACCTGACCGGCGTATGCCATCAATGTCATCCATTCACGGAAATACTTTTCTCCTTCTCAAACAATTCGCACCCACGAAATGGAACACAATCCCCTAGCATTCAAAGTGCTGGGCCTCACAGGAAACATACCAATATCCCTTTAACTTTTGTCGTCTATCGGAAAACAGAAAGAAGGCGAAAGGACTCATCTGCAGTATCCCAATCTTCAAAAAACAGAGGAAGAGCTCAAAAGAAGAAAAGGAAGCCTAGACCGACCCACCCCTCCCCTTCTTAGCCATAACGAAAACCTCACCTTTCCTCCCCTGCACCTCTGCCCCCATTACGCGTCGACAATACCCCTTCCTCCCTTTCGCCAACAGTCACAAGCATGAATCTCCTAAAACTGTCGCCCCTGCTATCCACCCACTCCGTGACGCACTGCAGCAACCACGAGCCCAAGCCTGCCCACTGGTGTTCGGGAAGGATGTAGACGTCAGTTAAATAGGCGAAGGTGGTGTTGTCGGTGATTATTCGGGCAAGGCCTATTTGGGTGAGGTTTGTGGTGTTGGTGTTGGTGTTGGTGTTAAGAATTGAAGAAGAATTAGGGCTAAAGTTTGACGGTGAACATTGTTGTGCCAATGCCATTGGGTTTGGGGATGTTATATTTATATAACCCAAAACATAACAAATGGTCTACCATCTCTTTTCACTACGGGTTCTGAGAGCGGTTTGGCCCAGAGCATGTATTCTTGGGCAAAGGCGGTGTTTATGGCAGATAAGGAGAGTAGGGTGGGGTCTGTGGAGATTATGTATTCCTTTGTGGCAGTTTCATTTGTTGGGATTGTGGTTTCTGCTGAAGATTCTGCTGAAGATGCACTTGGTTTGGATGGACCTGGGAAGGATCGTATCCATTGCTGAACTTGGAAAAGAGGAGGTTGGGATTGCGGCTGCGGTTGAAGTTGAGATTGAGGTTGAGTCATGGTTTCGTTTTCTTTTCTGTTATGTATCTTTTCTCTACCAGATCTTTCCGCTACCTTTCCTCCCCTCGCTTTTCTTTTTCTTTCTTTTATTTATTTATGAATGTTCATGTATCGTTTAACACGGAGTAGGCAGTAGTTAACTATAGATAACACGCTCAATTGCACACCAATTGATATCCAAGAAAATGGAAATTCCAAAAATCAATACAATAACAACATCCAGCAACAAACATCTTAACTGCCATTTTTTATTTGCACTCCCACCCTTCGCGATTGCTCGTATATATACATGAGCCAATCTGACCAGAAATCCGGAAACCCCAAGCATCATTCAATTGGCTTGGTGAGTCATCACGGACATTCCTGCAAGGTTCTACGCCGCGCCTTGCCGTCATTAACGCCAAATCCCCCACAATCTTACACGTTGGTGCCCGTTGACGAATCGGTATCTAGAGCTGCCTGCTCCTAGTGACTTAGATTAATAATTGACCGTCAGGGTAAGAGTTTGCTAAGATTAATGATACCTAGGTTATCAAGGAGCGAAATAGGAACTTGGCTGCATGTCAGAAATGATGATAGACTTCTCTTGCTAGAGTATTGAATTACAAGAATTAATGTTTTTTAAGTTCGACACGTCAGAGGAGAAACGAACTGAGAGGGAGCAAATGAAAAGTTGACATCAACGGGTCCCTGGCCCAATAAAAGTACTTATCGTCGTTCTAAGGCACCATCCCGTCATTCTGGTTTACGTTGAAACATCTATGAATGGAATGAGCTTGGTTATTGTAGTGATGGCATGAGACCCCAATTATGAGACTGGCAGCCTGCTCAGAGATCTCCGAAAAGCAAAAGAAACCAAATCAAAATTAAAACTATACACTTATAAACAACAGAGAACCCAAGAACTCCAGCTGACCGTAATCCCGCCCATCCCTTACTTAGTTGACGCCAACAATCCCGCAACCTCATTCATCCAAAAGAACAGCCTGCACGTCCAGATCGGTCCACACCGCATCGACCCGATCTCCCAACTCAATAGGCCCAAAATACTCCTTTAAAACCTCACGCAGTGTCTCGTCCGAAAATTGCATGTGTTGACCAGAAATGGTCCTAAAATCGAGCTTCCCCTGCTCATCTAACTCCTTCAAGCCAATCCAATCCTCCTGATACAGCGCTCTACTCTTCAACGGCGTGACCGTACCATCTGTTGTATTAACCTCGGAGAAATGCGCGGACTCCTTCGGCACCATCGTCGTATCGTTCTCAAACATGTACATCGCAAACTTATTCAACTTGGCCAAATTCTCCTTGTACGTTTTGTTCTTCACTGGCCGTTCGTTGTTGATATCCGCCAGGAAATTGCTGTAGGCTAGGTACTGGTCCAATTCCTCTGGATTCCGGAAGTACTGCGCAGGCACGAGTCTTGCCTGGACGAAGCTGGACCACCTGCCCAATCGCAACAACGCTTCTGCGCCCTTACATATCCAATCGCCAGAGGCGTTGCAGGACTGAAAGCTGGAAATGCCGTTGTGCTGGCTCCCGAAAGTGACTAAGTTGCGGACTGGGGGCGAGTTACAGCGCTCGATGTATCCGCGGAGGAATTGGCCACCCTGTGAGAATCCCAAGGCATTGATGGCCGGTGCGGTGCTGAGGATCTTTTCTTTGCCTATCTGTTTGCAGATCTCATGCAACTGAGTGGTGATGTTGCCAAAGAAGGTGGCTTCGCGGTCAACCGCGGGCGAGTTGCCGAGGGTGACGATGTAGACGTAGGTGCCCGGAACGACTTCTTCAGCAAGACTGGCTATGTGCTTGAGGCCATCGTTGCCATAATCATCGCCTAGGCCATGCCATATTACGAGAGGGAGGGGCCCTATTTCAGAGAGGATAGGCTGTTCTTGTTGGATTCGAGGGAGAGCGGAGGCGTGTAGGGCGAGGCTAAGGAGGGGTAGTATGATGAGTAATGATACGACGGAAAGCATCCCTTCCAGAGAATGCAGGATAAATATATATTTCCTTGAATTACTCGGAGCTTTAGGATCTAGGGATCTGTATGTTAGTATAGGGAATCGATGACGATGTTCGAAGTTGGAGGTTGGATGTCGTTGGGGAGTTCAGTAGTTACGAAGTTGTGGAGGGAGGTTGTTTACACGAAAGGGATGTGTAAGCAGCGCCGAACGAAGCTGCCTGGGGAAGGGGCCCAAGCGTCTTGATTTTCGCGGCAGGAGCTAGCCTCGATGCATAATTCAAGCATTTCACGGATTGAGGACCATTCATTAATACTTGTAAAAGCCGATTCAGACGATCATATCGAGGCAAAAGGTATCTGGATATATGGAGAGCTCCACCTTGAATTTCCCAAGCTATGGAGATGTTGCCATTAAGTATGTGGAATTGACTAAACTAGTTTAGCAATTCCTCAGCTCTTAGTTAAATGATTTTTATGATAACTATTTTATCGACGCTTTCTTAACCAAATAGTTACCTTCCTTTTGCAAAAAGTCATGAACAAGGATTGAAGCAACAATTCAATATAATGACATTACCTCACTATTATATATGCCTATGTTAATTACTTTTAACACCCCCCAATATCGAATTATGATAGAATAGGCTGCCAGGTTTTAATATCTCGTCCATCTGGTCACTTCATCTAAGGCCAGGACCAGTAATATGATTGCTCCCCGAAGTCAATTAACCTTCTCAGAGACGACGGGCCATCTGGTTCGAGGAAGTGAGGTGCAGAGCTATCGGCAGCGTCAAAAGCCTAATGTATTCTGCTGGTCGTGCTTTTGGAAACTGCTATTGGCTACCTGCAAACCCTCAGTTTCTTCCCTTTATTCGTTACTACTCACATTCTCAGATTCTCATTATCATCAACCACTGCTTGAGAAGCCAGTGGTCCATTAACGATATCACCATATTCAGAACAGTTGCCCTGATGTGAAAAACGGTTCTTAGTGATCCCTACCACCGCGTCTTGGGAGGAAACTTCACATCCAGACGAATCGGATTCTATCCCTTGACCATTCGAATTTGCAGAGTCGAAGACGAACATCGGGTGCGTGGCTTCTATATGAGAGAGTGTTTCGTGGCAAGATTCATTGGGCTCAGGTAGGCTCCTTATATAGGCAGCAGGTCCATCGGCAATAGCTCGCTCGCTGGCCTCGACGCGTGCTGGGGACGGAAGTTTGGAGTAACCGCTGGTATCTTGGCTACTATTACCCATGAACGATCCAAATATGAATCGTTTCCATAAATAATCATCTGCGTAGGTGTTCCTTGCTGCATTAAGGTCACGATTTCCTTGAGGCTTTACAGCGGGAGCTTCCGGTTCAGCGGAATTTTTTGAGCCTAATCTTGTCGGGGGTGTTGGAGAACATTGGTAGTAGCCCGTAATACCATGTTTATCCTTGGGGAAGCTGCCACGCTCTGTGCCCTCACGTCGATTAGGTGACGAAGGAAAATCCTGTGATCCCAAGCTGGCAGGCGTACTCTTCTCCCTTGTTGAGTGGTTGAGCACAAAGCTTGAATCTCTTCTGATACGCAACTCTGACTGGTCGTCAAAGGTATCGGAATTAGAAACAGCAGATGTATTAGAGCTGGTGTAGGGGTTTGGAACGTTGTATCTTAGGCTGTCATCTGGGAACCTTTCAGGATGCATGTAGTATTGCATTTGCAAATCTGGAGTGGGTAGTCGAGGGTGGTTTGCTGGCATCGCAGTTTGATTCTGCAGTGGATTCAGGTTTTTCCGGGCATTTGGGGATCTAACCTGGGAAACCCTGTGCTTTCGAGTGTCCACAGCTTCCGTGTTATTGAGGCTACCCAATTGTCCTACAGACGAAGATGACAGATCGACGTCTAGCTGATTAAAAGTGCTTGGATGACTTTGGATATCCGACATGGGCGGACTGCCGTACTGTCCTTGGTGGAGGGTCGAACCCCTATCGCCATTAGATGAGGTAGCCTGGGGGCGATGCTGTTTGTTATTCCTCAATTCCGTTTCTATTGGCGGACGGACATAGATTTCCTCGTTATCGAGAAGCATTGATTCTGACGGATCTTGGCTTTGAGAGCGTGAGTCGCTTCCAAGGACAGACCCATAATCGGATAGGTGACCAATAAATATATCCTCTCTCGTGTGACACTGTACCGCGGAGCTACACTGTCGGCAATTCCTAGGCCCAGCCGGAATGGACCTTAGACTGGAAGGATTATGCTTTTGGTGATCTAGAAACATATGACGCCTAGATGTCTCAAATACGATTGGGAGTTCAACATCTACGCTTCCTCTTCGGTGTGGCTCATATGAAAAACCGTTTGTAGGGGAGCTTCTCTCAGGATAAAGTTTCTGTGAGTCGAAGCCCTTTGCTCTCACCATCTCCGTTTCCGGTCCCAACTTTAGTTGTGAAATATTTTTACCGTTGGTCCCTAGGTTGCGAGTTGGAGTTGGCATGCCATGAATATTAGCATGGATAACGTTGCTGTTTGAATTGGGTCTGTCCGAGAAGTCCATGTCCAGGCCGTTGCAGTCCAGACAGTTGCTAGGAGAGTCGAGCATCGTTCCTGCTACAATGTCCGCATCCGAGTCTGCCTCTTGGTTTAGTATATGATCACCCATTCTCTGCTGGCCGCGATGGCGTCTTTTTGCCAAGTTTTCAACATGTCTGTCGCTCTTGAGGAACCGGCTTATTATGAGTGGTCGGGCAATGGATAAATTAACCCAATCCTTTCTTTTTAGCAGCTTTCGTCGAAGGTCTTCAAAACTTTGTGCCTCTGGAGCTTCAGCCTGGAGCTTCCTGTGCTGCTGCAGCGAGAATGGGTCGTTTAATTGTGGATATTGAACTGGAGCATTCAAGTTAGAATTTTGGAGCCTGCTAGTTTGTGTGCCATGGCTCTGATCGAGGGATGAATTTGACGGAGAAAATATTGTCTCGTTTGAATGGTGATGGTGCGAAGACACGTTTTGGCCCTTACATATAAGGTGTCGACTTTCGCGTCCT